GGAGTCCCGGGATCGAGTCCCGCATCGGGCTCCCTGCTCGGCAGGGAGTCTGCTTCTCTCTCTGACCCTCCCCCCTCTCGTGTGCTCTCTCTCTCTCATTCTCTCTCTCTCTCAAATAAATAAATAAAATCTTTAAAAAAAAAAAAAGAAAATGCTTTTAATAAACGGTGGGACTCTATGATGAAGAAATGATGGACACTACCTAGACATAAAAAGAGTGTGTGAACTTCTATGAGAGGTGGCAATAGAAACACGGACACATGGCAAGGCTCCACCTGAACCATCCAGCTGTCTGGTAGTGACAAAACACCTTAGCTTCAGATTTTATCATCAACAGTCAAACTTCTTCAGACCTTTGTAGCGCACGCCTAACACATCCATTAGCTATTCGTGGATATGTATGTACTCGTGTGTACACACACACACACACACACTCTCTCTCTCTCTCAGGCCTATCTAATTTTCGCCTTTCTCCATCCACTGGCTGAGAGGTACCCTTCAGACGTGGTCCTGGGCTCTCTCACATACTCTTCCTTTTCTTTCTCTTCTCTCCCTATTCAGGAGCTCTTCCAATCTTAAGATCTGAACCACCCCTGTTATAAAATAAGCTCCCCAGTTCTCATCCCAGATGCTTATTTCTAATAGTGCTTGCTAGATAGACATCTCCACCCAAAGTCCCAACACCCCTTCAAACCCAACACACACACCAATGCCCTCATCTTCTTTCCCCTAAGACAGGTCTCCTTCCTAACGCTCTCCACTCCTGTCCATGGCAGCATCCTTTATCTGCTCTAGAGCCAAAGTGAGCCAACCAGGACGCAGCTTCATCCTCCACAGGCAATGAAAACCACAATGTGATGGAAGTGATGATACTCAGTTCTAAGCTTACGCCTCTTGAGAGAGAGCGCGGCCCCCAGCCTCACCCCCTGAATGCAGGAAAAAGCCCAGGCTAGCCTCCTGGAAGATAAAAGACCACACGGAAGAGGGATGAGGCATTCATTCTAGCAGAGGCCCCCTGCCGGGCAGCCAGGCAGCCCACTGTCAGACCCATGTCAGAGGCCATCCTCACCAACAACCCACAGAACCGTGAGAATTATAAATCACCACCCGTTTAAAACACTAAGTTTTGGAGCAGTTTGCCTTTAACAAAGGCTAAAAGATGTAAGGGATTAGGTGAAATTCTAGAAAAGGAATGAGACTGCTCCCTTCAACCTCACTTCCTCTTCCCTGTTCAGGAAACAATGAAAACAAGAACCTGCACCCATGAAACACGAGCAAGATGCTATTAAAAAGTGCTCTTGGAAATTATAAATATACCCAAAATCTTAAACTCAGAAAAATCCTGGGATACAAAGCCAAAGAAATCTTCTAGAAGGCAGAACAAAGACAGAGATAAACAATAGGATGTATAAGGGCTCCCTCCATCTCAAAAAAAAGGATCAATTTAAGAGATCCAGTATCTAACAGTTCCACAGTTGTTTTTAAAAATGAAAGAGAAAATGGTCAGAGAAACAAATCAGAAGAAAATTTCCCCAAACTGAAGACCATGAGTTCACACAGCCAAAAACCCAAGAAAGCACACTGCACAATGAATGGGGGTGGAGGGGAAGACCCGGGTCACGGTGAACCTTCAGAACGCTGGGGATGAAGAGAAAATCTTAAAACATTCAGGGGATGGGAGGGGAGAACAAAGGGACAGCAATAAAATGTTGACTCGGGAGACCAGAGACAGTGAAGAAATAAATGCCTTCAAAACCCTAAGGGGAAAGTATTTATAACTTGGAAGACTCTACCCAGCCCAACAGCAATCAAGTGTGAAGACAGAATCAAGATCTTTCAATCAGACTTTCAAAGTCTGAAAATACCTATTCCCAGGCTTCCTTTCTCAGAAAGCTCCTGGGGATGTTCCTTAACAAACTGAGGAAACAAACCAAGAAAAAAAGAAAACATGAGATCTAGGAAACAGAAGATAAAGAACAGAAAAGTAAGTAGAGAATTCCTAGAAGGGCAGCCATGCAGTATGGCAGATATGAGGGCAGCCGGACAGACAGGGGCAGGAAGATGAAAGGCTCTGTGAAGGGAATTTAATTTCTACAAAAAGAAGTTCATTAAACGGGTAACAGGTATGTGCAAATGCTTCTGAAAGCTTTGTGGGAGCTGCTGGAGAGTGGGAACAATCAGCCAATGTTTCCAAAAAGATTAAGCAAAGGAAATTGTGAAACATTAACTGTAATAACAAAAGATGTCCTAGAATATACTGTACTCTATGATAGGAAATACACCTGTACTTCTTGCTCTACACTAGATATTTACATAATCATAGCAATAAAAACATTAAGGATTTTCACCAAGAATTGTGATATATTATCTTGAGAGAAAGGGGAAGATTTAAGAAAGCACAGTCATCCACCTTAAACATAAGTCAATAGACAATATCTAAAATTGGACATGAAGATAGCAGTTTTAAAATCATGATGGTGGGATGCCTGGGTGGCTCAATCGGTTAAGCGTCTGCCTGCAGCTCAGGTCATGATCTCAGGGTCCTGGGATTGAGCCCCGTGTGGGGCTCCTTGCTCAGTGGGGAGCCTGCTTCTCCCTCTCCCTCTGCCTGCCGCTCCCCCTTGTTCTCTCTGACAAATAAATAAAATCTTTAAAATAAATAAATAAAACAAAACAAAATAAAATAAATAAGTCAGTTATAATTGAAAAATGCTGTCTCTGGGAACTGAGACAGCAGGGGGTGTGGGAAGACGACAGGTGGGGATATATCATCTCTACCACAGGCTTTTTTAGCACACTTTTAAAGTTACAAACATGTTACACCTCATGTATCTCACCTTTATATAAATTCAGTAATTTTACATGAACTGACAGATTGCTCATTTATCCTGAGCAACCCCCATCATTCAAGTTCTGGCTGAAATACCCCTACACCCTTGAATGTCATCCCCAGCACTAAGCTCCCCCTGCCTTCAACACCAGGGTGATGCCTCAGCTTCCAATAATCCACTTTCCTTTTGCTGTTATTGAGAAAGCCTTATCTTCCATAAACTTCAAGATTAATTCAGCTAATCTAAAAACACGTTGGCCCTCTCTGCCCCCTTTCCCTTACTCCCTTATGTTTACAAGGATCAAAGAGAATACACAGCGTGCTGGGCACATTAACACAGGTTTCAAAGGCAACTGTTTTACACCAAGTGACATAATTATGCAATTCCTACTCTAAATTCCCTCCCAATTATGGAAAACTATACCCAAGGAATCCTCCCTTCAAATTACAGCAGAACAAAAACATAAAATGACCCACCCGGACAACTGTATTTGGTACAGTGACATCAGAGTAAAGAAAAAAAAAAAAAAAACCACCACCACCTCCACCACCTCAGTGGGCAAAGCTGAGATATTCCAACACTGCCTGGCACCTAACTAGAACAAAAAGCACCATCCGTTAAAATTAAGCCAGAAGGGAGCAATCCCATCTTGCTTCTCAGCTTTTAATAAACGGAAAGCAGGCAAGGTGAATGAACACCTGTACCTTGAAGATGACATGGAACATCATATTCGATCTCGTCGTGTCTCGACGGGCTTAAGAACAGAGTTCCGTCCACCAGAGGGAACTGTTCGAACACCGGGAGCGCCCGGTGACACAGGGCACAGTTTACAACATTCCTGTGGCTGGCACTGAGGGCCGCAAGAATGAACTTGCGCAGATCCTCGCCCTGGCCCATCTGGGCATCGTCCTCCATCCGCACGTGGAAAGTGTTCAACTTATGCCTGGGGATGTGAGTGAGCAGCTCGGACAGGTCGAGGCGCCGCAGGAACTGCACGGGCGCATCGAAGTGGCCCCCCCTGTGCCCCGATAACCCAGCCGGACTGTAATCAAAGTGGGTATTCCGGAACACGTGGCCCCCGGCCATGGCCTTTTTGTGAGGCTCCAAATGGATGGCATTCTTCAGGAATTCCCCGAGGTATCTGGAGGAGCGGGGGCCGCTGAAGTGGGCAGGGGAGAGGATGGAATAGCCAGTGGGCGGGGACTGGCCCGGGGAGGCGCAGGGGGAGCGGGCCCCGTAGGCCGCCGCCGCCGCCGCCGCGCCCACTGCCTTCTCCTGGGAGTTCTGCCGGTCCATGGAGTGCCGCCGGGGCGGGTCATGGCTCAGGCCTTTCTGCGGCTTGCTGGGTGGCCGGCCCTTTTTGGCCTCCTCCCCCGCTTCGCCAGAGGGCCTGCCGGTGTTCTTCTCCGAGCCAGACTTCTTCTTTTTTTCGTCCTGCATCCGCTTCACCTGGTACCAGTCCGTGTCCTTCTTTAAGTGGCCCTGTCCACAGCGGCAGGAGCAGAAGCGGAAGGCCAGGTCGTAGCCCTTCTTCGTCCACATGTTTTGGCGGCACTGCTTCTCGTTCCAGCTGCGGGCACGGCCGATGCAGTTAAACTGGACCAGGATGCTGCTCTCCCACTCGTAGAAGCACTGCAGGTGCATCCAGGTGCTGCAGGGGCAGTGCTCGTTGTTGCACACCACCTTCTGGTAGTCGTCCTTGTCTAGGTCCACCGGCCTCCCGAAACTGCAGAGCAGGGGCGTGGCACAAGGGGCTTCTGGGGAGGAACACAAAGAGAGGGGTTCAGCATGCGGGAGCTGGGATTCCTGCCGGCGCCCCATCAGGGATCAAAACCACCCCCCCCACCCCCCCATGAACCCATTCATGCCAACAGGACAATTTTCTGGTGTCAAGATTTCCACCGCTGGAATAACACCAGACAGGAATAAAAAACATTTACTACTTTCTTCTGGTACTATGTGGTGCCAAGGGAATTTATTTTCAGATATTTGTTATCTGCTGAAAAACACACCAGTAAGCTTCAGAAAGTCCAAATCCTTCACAGTGCAATTAGCAGTATGTCAGTACTTACAACAGTAGAGTGTAGTATGAGGTTCTAAGATGTGGGGGTAATGACAGGCAGTTCCAAGGTTCTTTAAAAAGGAATCACTCCAGTGAACTACAAAATATTACGATGAAGCCACTTAACCCACCAGCTCCAAAAGGACCCTCAAAGCCCTTTTTCACAAGTGTTAGGTTATCCTGAATACCACGGAGAAGCTAGAAAACAGAATTACCTCATCCTCAATTCTCTTCTAGAATGGTCTAATACCTAATGGCAGGAATATCTGGTCAAACTAATTGTTGGTCTACACAGAATTACACTGCCAGGCTATGAAGGAAAAAACCAGAATTCTCCTAAAGCTATCAGGACAGAAACTAGAACACCAAGATATTTCTACCCTATTTAACCACATGCCCCACAGGACATCTAAAAGGCCAATCAGTTTCCCCCAAAGGAGGGAAAAATTGGTGACACAAAGTAGAACCCAGCTCTTAAGAAGTAAACAGGATTTACGGAGATTCCACGGGATTCCAGTTACTCCAACATCAGTAACATTTTCAAAAGGCCCTTTTGGAGAGCAGTAATACTCCTAGTTGGGAACCACTGGGCTTGATCCGGAAAGTTCCACATGCTAAGCTCAATTCAGACTTTACCTTCTGTTGTAGCTGAGAACCCTCAGCCGGAGTTCTGTTTTAGAAAGCTCACCCTGGTGGCAGTGTGGGACATGAGGCTGCGGGATTCGGGAGGGCGGGTGGGGGCAGTAACCCAGCTGAGAAATGAGTGCCTAAGCAACAGCAGCAGCAGAGTAAAAGGCGCTCACTGTGGGAGGTAAGCAAACACTGATGGACAGCAAATATGGGAGGGGCAGGTCTGGACAAATGGACAAAGACGACTTTGGGCTGGCCTTATTTTGGACCTGCTGAATCGACAATGCCTATGTACCAATGAGGTGGAGAAAGACAAGACTGGAGTAAAAAAGACCTGGAGCCTGAATACAGATGTGTAGCCGCACAGCCAGGGGTGGAAGGAAGTTAAATCCCTGGACTGAGGAGCTAGCCCAAGAGGCATGTGAGAGGAGGAAAAGACTTCTGAGAAGCAACATTAAAAGGCTGGAGAAGAGTCCTCTACAGAAGACAGTTAAGAAATGAACTGAGAATTCACTGCAAGACAAGTCAGGAGAGAATTCTATCAAGGCAGTTGGAAAGTTTTAAGAACAGAGGACTGACTCAGAACAACTGTGACACCTAAAAATGTCTCCAGACATTGCCAGCTATCCCGAGGGGAGAGGGAGCAAAACTGTCTGGTCGGAAACTACTGGGCAAGTCAAAGACTGAAAAGTCCTCACCAGAATGATCGGTGAGCCGGTCAGGGACACCTTAGTAGGAACAGTCCTGGTGGGGTGACACAGCACAGATCGGAGGTGATGGTGAACAGAGGATGAGGAAGTCAAGAGGTGGAAGCAGTTCAGATGATCTTCCAGAAAACTCCTCCCAGAAGTACAAGGAAGGGAAGGAAAAACAATGGGAAGAGGCAAGGGCTGAGACCTACACGTTCACCTACTCGGGGAATGAATGCCAAAAATTTAGGCCAGCCTGAAGAGGAGGAGGCAACAAGCTCCTCTTCAGGACTCCAGGACTCCAGGACCTTCACAACCTCACCACTGCCCACTGCGTCACAAATACAACATTGCACCAGCACAGGTGAGAGGACCTATAAAGCCCAGGACACTCGGATGTTACAATCATCCCTTTCAGTGCGGGACTCCAGGGTATCAATCACAAGGCCCTAACCAACCTGTCTGCTTCCGCTCCTCTGATCACTGCAGCTCCCCCATCTACTGCCTCGGAGTCCACAGCCCTTAATCTTCATTTGTCCAAATCCCACTCGCCTCGTGCAGCGACTCACAGCATGGACTCTCCACCAGACTGCCTGAGCTAGAATCCCGGCAGTACCACCGCTGAGCTGTGTGCCCTTGGACAAGTCACTTTTTATCTCCAATTCTCGTACAGAATGCAGAAAACAACTGAAAATGTACTTTATATGGCTGTTATAAGAAAATTCTGATACATAGGTGGTGCTTAGAGCAGGGCCTGGCACCTCATAAACCTTCTCCCCTTCTTCCCAACCTTCGAGGCCCACCTCTAGACACTGATTTCACCAGAACCACCTCTTCCCCAACACGGTCTGGTCTGAACCTTACTTGAGTCCCCACTGTGATCCCACCAGGTTGAGGACTCCAAAGAGGATGCCTTAGTCATCTTTGTGTTCCTGGCACCACCAGGCCTAGGCCTGACACACATCCCATGCTGAATAAAGTTGCCTTAAAACAGGGCCACGAAACCCAACGTGACCAGCAGAGCAGAAGGAAGAAAGCGAGCTGAAATCCTAGACAGAAAGACCTACATGTACTGAAGTGCACCAAAAAGAAGTAGAAAAATGGTCTGTAAACTGAGTAAATTAACTGCAGTCACCTGGGCTGTGACCTTTAGTGTCCTTTAAAATGTTAACTAGTCAATTAAACAAAGTTCAGTTGCTTTTATTTTCAATCCTTCAGAGAAACAGCCTTGGAGGGAAGGTCTCTGAAATGTAGTGACAGTAACCAAAGTGCTAATAACCCAGGACTCGTGAAATCAAACTGAAGAATGGCCTAACTCTACCTGTGCATTTACGACATCCAAAATTTAAAGTTTTAAACGCTGAGACTGGCTTGATATTTCTTTTTAAAGTATTTTCACATTAAAGAAGGTAGATTAAGAGGGGGAAAGTCCTATTTATTTTTCTCAAAAAGCTGCAAATGGATCATTCAACCAATACTGAGAACTTCCTATGTACCAGGTCTTCAGAGCTGGAAGAATCAGCAAATGGTGCTAAGAGCTCCCACAGAAATCTCTACGGGAATCACAGAGGAGGCAGTGTGGCTCCAGGTCCCTCTCCCTAACATCGCCCAGCCTCCCCACAGCCATCCTCACCTGCCTTCTGCCCTCCACGGCTCGGCAATGAAGAGCTCCCACGCCAACCTGCCAGCCTGCTTGTTTACATCTCAGCCACTCTGATGTGGTCTTTGTGGCTAGGCCTCAAAAACAAAGACAAGGGCTTGAGACCAAATATTATGTGCAACCGACACTTCACCCTGTTACACACCTCCAGCCCAAGGGCGAGGCTCCAAGGAACAGGGGGAGTAACAGGGGGAGCCTTGGGTACCACACGACGGCTTCTGACAGGCTTTTACAGCTCATGCAGCCTTCCGATGAGGCTATGATGGGCTGGCCTCTGTACTCAGACAGGATAGCCTTCAAGGCTTGTTCTCTCCCCCCACCCACTGTCCACACTGGAAAGGCAGCTGGGAATAGGGCGAGTGGGGTTTGGGAGGCTAGCTGCTTGACATGGAGCAGCTTCCTGCTTCCTCCACTGTAATGTGAGGACAAAAATGCTTGGCCTCATTCACAGCAAATATATGTGGAAGCGCTCTATGAAGTTCCCCAACAACTCTCCCATGCTACCTACCTCTTCTGTAACTTGATACTTGTGTATCTGGCTCCCTAAATCTAGCTCCCTAAAAAAAAAAAAAACTAAATACAAACTGCTGCAAGAGATTTCCTAGTTTTTCTAATGTTTTGGACCCACAAAAGGGGTTCAGAAAGTCACGAATGAGGCCATGCCTCTTTTTCCAATTTCCTGTCTTACAGTTAACTAAAACATACAGGAAAAGATTTTAGAACTCTAAGAAACTGCATGAGTGCCCTTCAGATCATACCTATAACAAATGAGCAGTCTAATTTTTTTTAAAAGATTTTATTTATTTATTTGAGGCAGGGGCACAAGCAGGCGGGAGGAGGCAGAGGGAGAGGAAGAAGCAGACTCCCCCCGAGCAGGGAGCCCAACACCAGGCTCCATCCCAGGACCCTGAGATCATGACCCGAGCCAAAGGGAGATGCTTAACTGAGCCACCCAGGCGCCCCACAAATGAGCAGTCTTATAGAAATGCATTTGACTGCTTCCTGAACGTGGTCTCTAAATTTATAAAATTCCTAGCCCTTAAGAATTGCAGTCCCACAAAGGTAAAGGTATAAACAGAATACAGACTGATCCGATAAAACAAAACTGTTCGTGAGATGCACGGAGAAGGAATGGCCCAGTCAGTGAGGGCCTGTGTCCCGTACACCCCTTAGGACACGCATCAGAGCTGTGACAGTTGACTAACAAGCAGTATGAGAAAATGTTCCTTTGTGCGTTTGTACACACGTATATAAACCCTCCAGTGCATTTTTACAGCTTCATCATCAGATACTCAGGACTCAGCTTCTGTTTCTCCCTGCCCAAGTGAAAATAATTAGGGATCACCTCATTCCGGGCAAAAATCTCACGTGGTTTCAAGTCTGGACAATAAGATAGCTAGGCTGACATCACTTGGGCAAAGTCTGTCACTCTTCCCAGCCTTCGCATCCCGTATCCTGCCTCCCACACCTACTAAAAGGGAAGGATCTGACAGCAGATCTGACATTTACACCGGCTGCCCAATAAACCCAAATCCTCTGACACACCCATTCACACTAACAGGAGCCCCATAAAAACCAGACAGACGTTGCCACTGTCAGCTTTTTAACTGTAAAATGTAATGTTTTCATCCCTCTTAAAATAGTTGCAAGCATCACAAGCAGGTGGGGAGTTCAGCGGGATGGATGGGGAAGGAGGGTCTTCTGAAGTCATAAAAG